TTTTTTTTTATAGAGACCCCGCCCCCACATATATACACTCTCTCTCCACACACCTCTCTCTCTCTCTCTCTCTCTCTCTCTATATATATATATATATATATATATATATATATATATATATATATATATACATACACACACACATATATATATAGTGGTTTGGTTATAAAGTCGATGCTGTTGCTAAAAATGGTACAATCAGTTTTAACGTAAAGATGTTACAGGCAGTGAAGTGAAATGCTACAATCAGTTATGTAAAGACTTTATGGTATTTTATAAGTACAAGTCTGGTAGCTGATTCAGTAAACCCAAACATATCGTACTTACCAGTTTATATAAAATATCTATACCCTCGCCAAACTGAAATAATCCTTTGAGAGATTCTTGAATCTTCAAATCGAAGCCGGCCAAGACTCAATAGGAATAGCAGGATGTAGTCTAAAAACAAAAATCAGGCACACGATCTTGTGTGTTCAACGGCCGATGTCAGAACACATTACAAACACACTTTGTTAATCAGACAAACGAAGATTATATTTCCATGTGTGATCAAAGTGTAAGAAACGGTCGTGCTTCCTTGCTTCAGTGGTGCTCCACAGATAATGCCACAGTCCGTAGGGCTCCACAGATAATACCACAGGGACCAGAACCTTACCCCACCAAGCACAAAACTATCACCCCCTCCCCACCCCTCGTTAATTTGTCCCGCGTCAGTCACAGAAACTGCCACACTTAGGGCCTGCAACCAATGGTCCCTGGTGTGGGGACAGCCGATTTGACCTAAACGTGAGTTTAAATTCAGTTGAATTGAGGGGGGGGGGGCTGGTTGCTCTGCGGGTAAATAGCTAACCAAGAGATGCGATGGTTGAAAAATAGAGGGATAACTTAATGACCCCTGACATTGTTACGAACAGAAAAAACTGGGGTTTTTTTTTTTGCGGAAGGGGGCCTGGGAAATGTTTTGGGGTTTGGGTGGGGGGGGGGGGGGTATTTTTGTTAGCATGAACATTTTTACCGAAGAAATCTTTGAGACCTTCATTAAATTACACCCCCCCCCCCTCACTCCCCCAAACACACACGCGGCGCTGAAATTTTTTCTACAATGTGGGTTAAATTATTAAAATCCCAGGCCATTATAATTGATTAATGAGTTTATGCATGTGCGACACTGTACATTTGAAACGGACATTTTGAAACTCAGAGACATAAGAGTCAGAAGAATAACTCATATTAAATCTTGTTAACATTTCATTCTTTGTTGCCTCCCTTTAATAGAAAAAAAACCCAAAACCAATGTATTACTGTAAGGTTAAGTCTTCAATCTATTGACAATGATAAAGACACTGAGAGGCCGTCCCAAAATGGCTACTTGCACGCGAAGGGTGGGGGGGGGAAGAGGAGAGTGGGGGGGGGTCACGAGTTAAAGACTAGACTATTTATTAAGTGTATACATTGTACGAGGGAAGCAAGGGATGTAAAAAGAAAAGGTGGGTGGGGGTGGGGGGGGGCAATGTTCCCTTAGGGTTTGTTGGTTCGTGTGCAAAATCATACAGTTTTGTGTGCAAAGTTTTACAGCTTCAATTTTTTGGTGCGCAAAATTTTACAGCCCACTCACTTGCATGGAAATTTGCGGCGCGGTACTCAAAACTGCTGCGCGGTGTCTGTGAGATAGCTGCGCGGCGGCACAGCCGCGCAGCTTAAAGGGAACATTGGTGGGGGTTGGGGGGTTTGTAGTCTTCTAACATAGATGGCCACCAAGGCAGGGGCGTATCCAGAGTTACTTTGAAGTTGACCCAAAATGCCGATTCTCTATAATATACATAATAACACTACGCTTGGCGACTGTTACAATGTTCGTGGTTATCCCTCTAAGGCTATTAAACCGTCTCACAACACACACATTTTGAGTTATTATTATTATTATTTATTGTTTTGTGTGGAAACTTTGGGGAGCCAGTGAAGCAGACATTTAAACGTGGGTCATTTGTACTCAGGGGTCCTCGGCGCATTTCTTGCGGGCACACAGCTCTGAGCGTGGGCCATATGGACTCCGGTGGCCTTAGCGCATTTGTTGCGGGCACACAGCTCTGAGCGTGGGCCATATGGACTCCGGGGGCCACAGCACATTTCTTGCGTATATGAGTATATTTTTATTAGTATATATATATATATAAACGGATAATTTGAAAATATTTTCCTGGAATGTCTCTTGATCTCGTCAAATCTCATAACTTATTTTCATAGTTTCCAATATTTTTTTTTCTGCCATCATGATTAACGTTTGAAAGGGATACAAAGACTTTAAAAAAATAAATAAAAATAAAACTATCCCTTGTGATAACGTTAAAATTGAGTGAAGAAATCTGAATTAAAATTAAACACATTAATAAAAATAATACACAATGCTAATAACTTTCATGTAATTGTTTTATTCTCTAAATGCCAAAAGCTTGTCGTGTAAATGTCTGATATCATTTTCCAAAAGGGCCAAAACGTTTCATCGCTGATCAGACTGGCGTAGATTGGACACCGCGGACCTTGTGATCTCGTGCAGTTGATCGCCAGCGCTTCGCTCTTGGTGATGTTTTTGTCCATGGCAAAATTATAGTAAGTGACCTGGCCGACGATGATGGGCAGCATCCCGAACAGGTACACGTCATCAATCCAGAAGAACGGCGAGGTGTTGGCCGCTTCGACCATGGGTCTCATGAGGTCGGAGGTGAGGATGACCGAGAAACCGCTGCAGTAGTCGTAAGGGTACGTCTGCCGCCTGGCGAAGATGCGCGGGTCGACCTTCCACTTGCCGTCTCGGAGGATCTGGCTTCTGTCTCGATGCCAGAGATTGCAAAAGATCGACTTGCTTTTCGCGCCCATGTAGTTCAGAAACGAGTACAGCAGCTTGTACATGTTGATCATGACGTCATCGTCTATTTTGAGCACGAATTTGGAATTCCCGCAGTACTCGCCGACCCATCGGAACCCCATGACGCCCTTGAGGGTCAGATTGTGATAGTCGTCGATGAAGTCACCCATCACCGTGTCCTTGTGGGTCACGTGCTCCGACCGCAGCCATTTTGCCAGGGTCACGTTCATCGTTTTGCCCAGCATGAACGCCACGCGCACGTGAAACGGAAGAAACGACGGCTCGTGACCGAACGTGTCCCTGATCCTCTGACGGCGTTCCAGATTGGCCGGAGCCGTGTGCACTATGATGATGATGTCGACGAGCGCGACGCCGCTGCAGAGGTTTGGATTCAACCAGAGGTAGCTGCCGATTCTTTTAGCGGGGTACACGGCGCCGTTGGAAACTTGGCTGGCGTTCATTTCGTGCATCATGCCCTCCAGCTTGGCCGCCACGTCCGTGTTCACTGTTGTCTTTGGGGCGCCGCTGACGCCCCGGCCAATGGTTGGTTTCGGACTGGGACCCTGGTCAGCATTTAATTTTGGATTGATGCCCGTGTTAACGGCTGTTTTCGGAAAGTACTGGTATCGAGATGATCTAAGCTGCCCAGAGACTGGGTTTGGTCCGAACTGTTTCATTTGAACGGTTTGGTCTTCGCTTAGGAACCTATCCGAAGATCTCCATGCCATGTAGGTTTGTGCGGCGATGAGCAACAAACAGACCATGTGAATGAGAAGAAAGACTCCCAGCAGCAGGCACTTTTTGCTTGATCTGGATATTCTCATTTTTTAATTTTTTTTTTGGTCAATAGCTGGGGAAAAGAAAGCTATATTTTAGGGTCAGTTTTGTACGCTGTAAGAAAAATAAAAACGGATTAAAATTAAATTATTACTCTATTGCTATGTCTCTCTAAAACCGTAACATCATAATTTTACACCATTGCTTTACTTTTAAATATATCCTCGTTTATATAAATTAGTTTAGCACAGACATAATTATATTTAAATTTAAAAAAGACTTTATATATTCAATTAATTTACATAACTCACGTTTAATATAATAACAAAGTTATTGCTTTCAGTGGTCATTAGCGTTAGGGAGATCTTTGTTGACGTTTAAAGTAGAGACCGACCGAATTTCGGCTTCGGCTTCAGTTTCGGCGCCGAAAGTGGCCATTTTATCACTTTCGGCCAAGTTTCGGTTTCGACCGAAACTGAAAAGTTAATTTTCGACTTAATTTCGGTTTCGGCCGAAAGAGAAAAGTTAACTTTCGGTTTTTCTTCGGTTTCGGCCGAAATTGACTTAGACTTTCGGTCGGAAAAGTGACTCAGGTTTTCGGTCATTTTAATACTCAGTGAAAGCGATATTTAACAACAAACTAAGCCACATTTAAGAACAAATTAAGCGATCATTGAGAACAAACTAAACGATATTTAACAACAAACTAAGGGACATTTAAGAACAAACTAAACGATTTTTAAAACAAACTAAGCGATCTTTAAGAACAATCTAAGCGATCTTTAATAACAAACTAAATGATCTTTAACAACCAACTAAACGATCTTTAAAAACAAATTAGGCGATCTTTTAGAACCTCATTTTTTAGAGACCCTGTTGAAAAAAAATATTTTGCAGAAAATCACTTTCGGTCGGTCTCTAGTTCAAAGCAAAGCAGATTTAATGATGTCTTATAGTTTCTGGACATTGTTTTACGAAAAAGTGTCCTTATATCTTATATCTAAAAGTGTCTTTGATTTCTTTGACAATAAAGTGTCTCTACTTCCTGATACTTAAAAGGCTCTCGACATGCTTATACTATAAAGTGCCTTTATTTCCCGATGTCATCTTGCCAGCACACCGTCGAATTTGGGAAGAGTCTTTATTTCCTGATGCGCTTCAGCTCATAATCATGGTTGGGTATTTGGTTGGCCAACCCTGAAATACAAAAATACACGTCACAGAGCTGATAGGTTTGTCATATGCTGATGGGGTAAGGTAAAGGAAGTGCCGTTGGAAGAAAACGTGCATAAAAGTAAAGTAAACTGCTGTCGACTGAGCTGATATAATCTGTTAAGAATAAGTTGACTGCGATCGTTTGACGCCACTGACTGCATAGCAATGTAAGCACTGACTTTATAACAAGGTAATCATTGAGTTTAAAACAATGTAATCACTGAATTTATTACAATGTAATCATTGACTTTGTAACAATGCAAGCACTGACTTTATAACAATGTAATCACTGACTTTATAGCAATATAATTAGTGACTTTATAAATGTGTAAGCATTGACGTTATATCAATGTAATAAATGACCGTATAACAATATAAGCAATCGTTTTATAAAAAAATAAAAGCATCTATTTTATAAAAATATAAGCACATATTATAGTTGAGGGGGTGTGGAGACGGTGGGCGCCCTATTTTTCCTATGTAAATGGATTACATTTTCGGCCAAGTGAGAAGCTTTTTCGTGGAAGAAAGAGGGGGGTGGGGGTGGTGGGCCTGGAAAAATTGGGCCCACCCGGAGCGGTACTAAACCTAGTTATTGCAGAGTTGTATTTTGCTGCGTGTAGTAACATTATGGAAAATATATATATAAAAAGAGCCCCCTTACTAGATTAGGTTTATTCTTGGGTCGGTGGGGCAACCCACCTGTGAAAAGACTATGGCCCCCTCAATGCCGTTACGGTCATTGATGACTGCATAGACACGCTTTAAAGGTCATATATGATCAACATAAAGTATTCGCCTTCTGACACAGGATGATACATTGGAAGAACGTGTGCCAGGAAGAGCCAATGGGTTAAATACTTGGGGCGATGAATGGAGGGTGTTTTGATACGGCTGGTGACGTTAGATGCGGCTGGTGACGTTAGATGCGGCTGGTGACGTTAGATGCGGCTGGTGACGTTAGATGCGGCTGGTGACGTTAGATGCGGCTGGTGACGTTAGATGCGGCTGGTGACGTTAGATGTGGCTGGTGACGTTAGAGGTGGCTGGTTAGTTACAGTTGATTCTTGGATTACATCAAGAATTCCCAACCGTGGGTGCTTGCATCCGCAAGGGGGGGGGGCGAGTTGGAATTCAAGAGGTACCAGGTGGTATTTCAGGGGTGCGAGATGGTATTTTAGGGGGTGTGAAGTGGTATTTTAGGGGGTTTCGAGATGGTATTTGAGGGGTCGAGAAGTGGTATTTCAGGGGGTGCAAGATGGTATTTCAGGGGTCGAGATGGCATTTTAAGGGGCGAAATGTGGTATTTCAGGGGGTGCAAGATGGTATTTCAGGGGTCGAGATGGCATTTTAAGGGGCGAAATGTGGTATTTCAGGGGGTACAAGATGGTATTCACGGGGGTGAAAGATGGTATTTCAGGGATCGAGAGATGGTATTGCTGGAAGGTGGGAGGAAGAGTGATTATAAGAAGAGGAGAACCATCAGCGTTTAAATTATGACATAAATGTTGATGTATTTTCAAAAGTTCTTCATCGCCGTTCTAACTTTATGTCACAAATCACAAGTATATTTTCTAAGATCTACAGTTCTCTTTGTGACTCAATAAATAATTTAGAAGTCAATTATTTTCAAAAGTTAAAATCCACTCTTACTTTTGTATGGGGTCCGAGAATAAGGGAAACAGTTCGTTGGGGTTTAGAGATTATTCAAATTATTCGTAGTGGGGTGCAGAGACTAGAAAAGGTTGGGAAACACTGACTTGGAGGGTGCTGGTGAACTCATCCAGATAGCAGACGGCGCAATGGTCCAAACAATGAAGCACATTTTGTGTGGAGGATATCTCTTTATGAACCATTTTCGAAACAGAGGTTTGGAGTTGTAAAGGAATAATGGTGTGCCATTTCGCACACTTAAGTAAACAGCTTTGAGATTGTAGTGTTATCAGATTGTGAGACGAACATAAAAAATGTGTCATTGAATATTATATGAACACTGGTTGGTGTGTAAGTGGGTACAAGGGTTAGAGAGAATGTAGCGTGGCTAGAAAGAAATATATGGTTTATATAGTAGATTGAACAAACAAATTCGGCTAAGTTACAATGGGAGGGCTTATTAAATGCGTTGTATGCATTGAAATATTTTTTTTTTTTTAAACGCAGTTTATTTCAAATTTTGGAAAGATACTTTCCAACAACAAAACATAGAAAGATAGTATGAATAATTCATATCGGAAAAGACCAATTAAAAAAATATTCCTGTGAGCCATGCATTGAATTTGAAATTGTTCCTCTCGTTTGGTAGGAGGAACACATCCAGTAGTCTGGAGACGGACACACATTTCTGACCAGATGACGTGGGAATTCGGCGTTGCAATTGCCAAGTACGGTGAAACTACTTGCTGTAATTGATCTCAAAATATAGTATGACTTAAAAACTTTCTAGCCACGTTAAAAACGTATGATTTCAATAAGGATATTTGGATGCTTCTTATAAAATGAACTACTTAAAAAGTAGCATTTCCGACGATTTAACACCGTGGGTATCTTTGCTTCTGTTTGTATTTGCTTTTGGTTCTTAATATCAAAGATAAATACATAATCTAGGTTAATTAATAATGCCTCGTTTATTTCATTGAAGTCACCCTAACGCCCACACCCTAACCCACACCGAATCTCGCAAAAGAACAAATTAAAGTTAATTAAATACTGCCTACATAACTCAAAACAGCAACATTTCAAGCAGCAGTCACAGTAACTTATAATGTTACCAGCCCACTTTCTTGAATCATAAAATAAGTGTTCTTAAAAAAAAAATACATGTTAGACATGTTTAAGTAGACATGTTTTGTAAGATAGCCAATAGCTAATCTAAAATAGCGAAAATATGGAACAAAAAAAATAAATAATACCATTAAAATATGATGAAATAATGAACGAAAAAAAAAAGACAAATGTAATGAAAGTTACATTCAGAACTATTATATTGCATTGTAAACCTTAAATACACTTAAAATGCACGTGTCCACAATTTAGACAATAAAATAATGCTGTGTACCTTACCGTAAAAAACAACAAAACAACGTTTGGCAGCATCAACGCATAGAACTAACCACAAACCTGTTTCCTGGCGTTGCACGCTGTTCACAGAAGTGGCTTGAGGACACCATTTATTAACTTTTAGTGTTATGGGCACCGACAATGCCGCACTCGGTCTGCTATCGTAAAACTGCACACTCCACTGACGGGTGTGTTGTGTCAAAAATAAAAAATGTACAGATATCAAGTCTTGTTCCGCATAACATAACAGACCCCCGTTGTGTCTTCATCTGCAGCAAAGCATGCCCGTCTCGGCACCGGCAGTGGTTCTGCGATCTGATGTTGTTAGGTATGCAACATGATACGAAGAACTGTTCAGGGGTTGAAACGCGATCATTGAAACTCTTCTGTCAAGTCCTTTCAACTCCTGTAATGGACAGATGTACAGACTTGACTGTTTTGGGGTTTCATTTATTTTTTTTTAAAGCCTTATTTTGTCATTGATATTAGTGACAGAGAAATACACAGTAATTTAGTTAACTATTTCGCTTTTCAAAATCGATTAAGTTATATTCTTTTCAAATCTTTGTGGTGGTTATGATGGTGGTCATGTTGGTGATTGTGGTGGTTATCGAGGTTGTGGTAGTGGTTGCGGTCGAGGTAGCGGTGGTAGTCATTGGGGTGGTTGTGATAGTTGAGTTAGTGGTAGTGGTCGTGGTTGGTGTGGTATGTCGTTGTAGTAGTGGTGGCCTTGGTGGTGGTGGTGGTGTTAGTGGTCGTAGTTGTTGTGGTCGTTACGTTTGTGGTGATATTCGTGGTCGAATTGGTGGTGGTGGCTCTCGTAATGATTGCGGGGGTGGTCGTCGTTGTCATCATGGGGTGGTAGTTGTCCTAGTGATGGTCGTGGTGGTGGTTGTCATAGTGGTAGCCATGTTGGTGGTATTAGTTGTCAGAGTTGTGGTGGAGGTGGTGGGGGTCATGGTGTTTGTAATCTTGGTGTTCATCGTGGATATCATAGTGGAGGTCGTGTTGTTGGTGGTGGTTGTGGTGGTAGTGGCTGTCAAAGTTGTTGTCGAGGTGGTGGAGTATGTCGTGGGGGAAGTGGAAGTGATAATGTTGCTTTGGTTGTGGTGGTTGTGGTGATGGTATTGGTGGTGTTGACGGCATTCGTGGTAGTAGTGGCAATTTTGGTGCTGGTGGTTTTTGTGGTGGGGATGGTGTTGGTTGTGGTTGCCTTTGTGGTGGTGGTTGAGCTTTCGGGGTTGTTATCGTGGTTGTGATGGTTGGGTGGTGGTGGTGATATCAGTTGTTGATATGGTTTTGATGGGATGTCAATCGCTTTAAAAAAATGTATTTCGTAATTTTTTTTCTGACTATAATTTAGACGACCAGGTACACACGGTCATACACGAATGGAATTAGATTTATTTTCCCAGATCATAAACTAACACGGTGAACAGGATTTCTTTCAGCTATATCTCGGGGGGGGGGGGGGGGGGGGGGGGAGCAAAAAATATGTCCAACCATAAATCAACTGGCACTGCCCCCCACCCCCAAAAATCTGAAGTGCACCCCCCCCCACTTTAAAAAAAAATTAACTGGACATTAAAATTGTGAGGTCCGGTGGTTTTAGTCACTGGAGAAGAACAAAACCATGCTTGACGTCAGAGGTTGAAGTTGGAGTCTAACACATGGATCATTCGAAATATCCAGTAATTCAAAAATGAATCCATGAGAATGGTTCACGATGACGATAAAAGTCATCTCAAAATATACTCTAGAATGAAGCTCTGCGTCAGAAAGCTGCGCAGAAATCTCATGGTCGTCCGATCAATAATAAATTAGACTAACTAATAACAAAGATAAGATTCTTCGCTTTTAACCTTTTAACGAACAAAAAAAAAAAAAGTTGTTAGAGCCTCAATCTGTTATCGTGGCGTCGGTCAATGACGCTGCGGACTGCCTTTGGGCGTAACGGGGATCTATGTAGATTGGTGGCGATGGCGGTGAAATGGTGACGACGGAGGTGAAATGGTGGCGGTGGTGGTGAAATGGTGGCGACGGCGGTGAAATGGTGGCGGCGGCGGTGAAATGGTGGCGACGGCGGTGAAATGGTGGCGTCGGCGGTGAAATGGTGGCGGCGGCGGCGGTGAAATGGTGGCGCGGGGAAATGGTGGCGACNGGTGGCGGTGGCGGTGAGGTGGTGGCGGGGAAATGGTGGCGGCGGCGGTGAAATGGTGGCGGCGGCGGTGAAATGGTGGCGACGGCGGTGAAATGGTGGCGGCGGCGGTGAAATGTGGCGACGACTGGTCACATCCCCGAATAGCCACCCCACTAATTTCCTTTGATATTTCTATGTATCTTAACACGCTGAGGCACAGAGATTTATATAAATATTTATTTATATAATTATTTATTTTTATTACAGAAGTTGCACTTAATTGCCAAGGGACTGCTTTAATTCCCTTCCCTATTCTGGATTTTGAGACCCACTCCTCAAAATCTAAAGTCACGTGGTTTGTGGGCGTGCTTTGTGAACGTGTCGTCGTTTGTGTTATAAAAGGATGATCTTCAGTCGAGAAGTTACAGATGATCTTAACTTAATCGGCGAAATCATTACACTGAAAATCTACAAGCCAGCATCTGTGAGTATTTTCTGTTGTATCATTTGTTGGTATATTTCTGCATCAGATCCATCACTACCAGTCAGCACCTATGAGTATTTTCTGTTGTAGCATTCTTTTGTGTTTGCTCACAGAGGCATGGCGAGACATGCAAGACATTACGGTGATTCCCAAAACCCGAATGCTGTCTTCGACCGCCTCTATTCTGTGTTGTTGCTGAACACAGATGACTTAGAGCGTGAAAGGAACGTGGATGACTTAACGACACACCTCTTTACCTCAACCCAAGTCACGGTGCAAGTGAATTGGCCGCCCATTACAGTGCACCCGACTTTCATCAACAGCGAAGTCCTGTGGCGATGGGCAGCGACGAAGTGGTTTTGGGGTGAGCACGCTTGTAGCCGTAGGTGGCACACCTGCCTGTATGCAGACGGAGCCATCATGTCACTCGTCAAGGACACGGAGCGGCAGTCATGTCTGGCAGCCTCTCCATCTCCGAGTAGAACACGGGCGCTGGCAGACATCGGAGCTATTTGCGAGAGAGACCCGGCGGAGAGCGTGAGCTCTGCGATAGATGCCCGGGATCTCCTTCAGGGTAAGCCGAGGACGTGAGACGTACCTCTAGACTTATATTGAATTTTCAGTCATGATTTGACTGATTCGCAACAACTTGGCCGAACTCCCCAAAAGTGATTGATAGGGAAATGACTATAAATCTCTTCCTTTATCATCTGGAAGTAAACATTCTGACCATGATCAGCTGCAAAAAAACAAAATAAAAAAAACAAAACAAACAAACAACAAAACAACAGCAACAACAACTTCTTAAATGAAGTAAAGAAGAAATTATCGTATTAAGCTGTCGATCCATCGTGGATCAAGGAATCTGCTAAGTTCTGCTACGTTGACACACTGACCAAAACTTTAAAAAAATAAATCATTCCCTAAATAAAGACCTGTTATAAATTTACGTAAATTATCCCGTACCAGCGTAATTCTTAATTTAAGTTTGAGGAAATAGCTTATTTAAATTTATTTTTTTTTAGCATGGATTTAACAACATTGTCTCTGATTTATGGTCTTGATCTTTTTTTTCCTCCTCACAGTTGAAAATGGGAAAATTCCTAGCATTATAAGCTTTGATCATCCTCAGTGTATTGATAGCACGGTGTTAGCAATTTCCTGGTAAATTTATTTGATATAAGCAGCACTTTTCTAATATATGTGCATTTCACGACAAATCTACACGCTACATTCACTTAAAATTGTTAAATCACTTTTTGTTTTAGTTTGATTGTACGTTTGTCTATTTCTATTTCCAGTTTTATATATCATCTATACCTTTTAAGCCAAAATCTCCGTAACCATTTTGTGAAATATTTGAAAATATCATCGTTTGTGATCTTTGAGCCAGGTCAAAACCAACAAGTTCCTTCAAGGTCGCGACTTAATAAGACAATGAAACCATGGTCGTCATGCGTAAGTCGGGTTCAACGGAGCGTGTATAGAACATACCTTAGCAAGAAACTCAAGATAGCCCACAATGAATTATTACTCGTGGCCACTTGCATCAATATTACGTTGCTAAGATTAGTCAACTCGATGCAGTCTTGTATCACGTTGCACAAAGATAGGCTGGTCCTTAGAGTATGCTTGAACGTGGCTCATTCATCCATGAGATTACCGAAAGCACGAGTTGATCTCGTTGTAAAACAGAACCAAAAAAACAAGCATTCTAGAAAAATGTTTTCCCCGTGTGAAGAAAGAATACTCTTAAAAAAATGTAACGTTATTTTTATCTCTTTATTTTACTGTTTCAGGACCCTATGCCATCATCGGTAAAGTAAAGCGTTGTAAAAAAAAAATGTGACAATTTGAAATGTTTCGAAAAAGGACTCTCAATCATGGGCGCCCGCAGAAAACTTTCCGGGGGGGGGGGGGGGGGGGGGGAAAAAAAATAATTAACCTTCCCGGGGGGGGGGGGAGTTTTTTATTTCTCTTTATTTTCCTTTTACTTTAATAAATTTTTTGTCTAAAAATTTTTTATCCAATCAATCCAGGAGGGGGGAGGGCAAGTGTCCCCCCTTGCCCCCCCCCCCCCTTGCGGGCGCCCATGCTCTCATTGGAATCTGCAAGACTGCAGAGCCTTTCTAACGAATTTTCATGGCCTCGGATGCGATTGATCAGAATGAAACCACAACATACAAAAAAACATGATCAATTAAAAGACGACGATTAAGACCAAAAAAAAAAAAATAATAATAATCTTGTTGGTTAATTCAAATGTATGACATTCTATGTTGTTCGTGGTTACAAAGTATGGTAGCGTTGGTTACAGTATTCGTTTATAAATACAATACTGGCCGCTCCAGTCTTACATCCTGTTGTTCGCATGTATCGCTATTTTTTCAATAATTTTATCGATTTTTTTTGTTGTTGCAACTTCACAAATTGAAAGACTTAAATGACACTGTATTGAAATACATTTACATACCTATAAAGTTAAACAATTTTAATAATACTTAGTCAAGTATCAAACATGTTGCAATCTGTTTTCAAATCATAATTCACAGTAAAAGCACGATTTTTAAAGAAGGGATAGGTGTTAATCATTAAATTGTATGATGGCATCATGCCTTTTTTTTCCTAATCTAGAATTTAAAGGGCGTATACAAATAGGGCGCATACAAATAGGGCGCATACAAATAGGGCACATACAAATAGGGCGCATGCAAATAGGGCGCATGCAAATAGGGCACATACAAATAGGGCGCATACAAATAGGGCGCATACAAATAGGGCACATACGAATAGGGCACATACAAATAGGGCACATACAAATAGGGCGCATACAAATAGGGCGCATACAAAAGGGCGCATGCAAATAGGGCGCATGCAAATAGGGCACATACAAATAGGGCGCATGCAAATAGGGCGCATGCAAATAGGGCGCATGCAAATAGGGCGCATACAAATAGGGCACATACAAATAGGGCGCATACAAATAGGGCGCATACAAATAGGGCGCATACAAATAGGGCACATACGAATAGGGCACATACAAATAGGGCGCATACAAATAGGGCACATACGAATAGGGCACATACAAATAGGGCACATACAAATAGGGCACATACATTTAGGGCGCATACAAATAGGGCGCATACAAATAGGGCGCATACAAATAGGGCGCATACAAATAGGGCGCATACAAATAGGGCACATACAAATAGGGCGCATACAAATAGGGCACATGCAAATAGGGCACATACAAATAGGGCACATACAAATAGGGCACATACAAATAGGGCACATTCAAATAGGGCACGTTTCATCAATTATTATTGAATCGAAAGTGTTTTTGTTTTTCTTTAATTCTGCTACTTTTTTTTTTTTACAAAGTTTCCTGAAAAATAGATTTAAAAAAAAAATACTTGGCCTTTATTTATTATTATTAACTTCCCAACTGCTTTTGTCTTTTTAATATCATAATGTAGTAGTTATAGTAGTTTGAAATTTCAAATTATTGTTTTCGTATATGATATGCCTCAGGGTTTACATTAAATTACAAAAGTGAAGGTAAATTTTAAAAAAGATGTCTAGGTCTCAATATAGTTAAAATTAGCATATTTCGATAAACAGTTTCCAGCGGAGGCCCCCGTACCCCTCATTAGCTGGAGGGACTCCCCTGCCCCCACCTCCAACCATCCTTGTGTGTGTCTCGTTTTTTCCAGTTCATGATTTGGACCGCCAATGAACTCCCACCAAAAATATATGCAGGGGCTTACAACTTTAAAATAATTGGTACGATAGGTGAATCTGGCAGAATGTGTACATTGAAAAGAAGGGGCGAAACGTTTTTTGTGTTTTTTTCACACCAGTGATTTAATAATAGAGCATTTGTTAACATCAGAATCAATGACACTCATCTGCCTGGCAGACCAAGCAGCCCATCCAGCCAACACAGCCTTACACACTTTGGTGTTCAAATGTGTTGCAGAAACACACAAGTCAAAGACATTGCATCCATAAAACCCATTCGTGCAATATATTAAGTCTTTTTATAGACATCACACAAACTTATTATAGATTTTAACAATGTCGCCTCAGCCACCTCCATTTTTCTTAACAAAGAGTGTAATGCAGAGAAGTGAAAAAAAAAACGTACTGCAGGCTCATTCAGTGTAAAAATATAAATTAAAAGACGCCTTAAAAAAGTTTTTCATATAAATCCTTTATAAAATAGGACATCCAACAAAAGGGGGGGGGGGGG